GATCCTCATACAGTTATTTGGATTGCTGCCGGCGTATCCAGTAATTATTTTCACAAGTTTTTTTTTAGTTACCGCAAAGTTTTGCTTGCATGTATGTGTCCTTCCGAATAATCCAATTCAAAAATTTTTCATACTAAAAAGACGCGATTTCAGGGACAGGTTTTCAACCATGCAGAAACTTAAAAATGTTGAGTGAAAGACTATTTGAAAACTCTCTATTTGTTTCAGATCGAAATTTGTTAATTTTTTAGGCGTAAATTTTGTGGCCACATTCGTGCCGATGTATTTAGTCGAACGCCTCGGCCGTCGATTATTACTCTTTATATCGATGGCTGGTGTAATATTGGCCTTGTTCACAATGGGCGCTGCGTTTCTGCTGATCAATCGTGATTCTGCAATCACAATCGATCCAGAAATTACTACTGTCAACGTCTCCGTCGCACAATATTTTGAGTGCAAAGCACTGAGGTTTCGTTTTTTCGAATATCAGCTTCAGAGCCACAGTTCCAGTGCCGTGAGTCTATACGCGATCATCAAAGTTGACAGACTTTAATCCGCTCCGAACTTAATCGGACTTTTCCTTACCTCCCCAAACATTTCGTAACTAGTAGCAATATGTTATTTTGTGATTGGTATGGTCCAAGAAGCAATGATTTTTAACATTCATCAGTGGCATCCCGAAGTGGCTAAAAGCTTACAAAGCTTTTTTTCAGGCGAACTGTTGGGCTGGAAATCCCTTCAGGAGACAAAATGAGCGTCATAATCTTTAGGAAGCTGACAAACAAGCCGTTCAGCACTGACTAACTAGCTGGAAAAATTACTTGCTGTACAGCTGAAAAACCTGGCTATGTAATTCTAGTCAAAATGCCAGAGCTCGCCTCTTTGTGTTCACGATGGTCCTCTAACCTCAGTATTCTCTTCACCGCATAATGTTTCACTCAAGACGATAATATCACTAATTACTTGAGACAATTCCGCGTCCCTTTTGCGATGTGCTACTAGCAATGCTAATATCGACAAATCATAGCAGCAGTACAAACAACAACACAACAACAGCAGCATCAATAACAACATTCATACTCGATATGTCAAATCAACTAACTGCCAGTTTTTATCCAATTTTGCATATACGTAAATTGCAAAAACACACATTGGGAAGAGACTCTGAGTGTGTGTGTGTGCTTTCAACTCGAGAATCGGAAAAGCTAGAAGGCTGAAATTTTGGGAGTATGTACCCATACTATGCGCACTACTCCAGTTTTAATATCATTCCCCGCGGACGTCTGGGTGCCACGTACAAACGCTTTAAAAAATATGCAAATTTTTTGGCAGGAAAGCGATCTCGGGGAGCAGACAAGGTAAGGGGCTGAAACTTTGTAGGGTTATTCCTCGTGTGTTTGCTAAAGATTTCAAATTCATCTCCCGGGTATGCGTGTTACTCATGTAAGGGCGTATGAAAGCCTTGGTGGAAAAATTGTTAACTCGGGAACCAGGAAAGCTAGAAAGCTGAAATTTTTGAGGAATGTTTTCTGTCCAAGTTCAACTCAAATTCAAATTCAGCCTTCAGATGTGCGCGGTTCTCACGTAAAGAGACCTAAATTTTTGGCGAGAAAATTGCTCACTGAACAGCTAGGTTAGTTTCAAAAAACGGCCGTTAAATAGAATTGTACATTCAATTTATACAAAATTTATGATGATTTGTGCTAGTGACCGCAAAAGGTAGGTGTAAAGCAGCAACCATTCATGCAGTTATTGGCCTAAGTATTTTAAGTCCGGTGCAAAAACGCATGATCGCCCGGTGCGTTCCAGTCTGAGTTTTCTGGCCGTGGCATTAGTAAATTAGCAGATAAAAGCGTGATGAACATTATCTTAACATTTTATTGTTTATTAAGCATGAATTGCTTGCAGTAACTGCGATCACTGCGTTACCGATGAAAAGTGTGGTTTTTGTCAACCAGATCAAAGTGTTTCGCAAGGGTTTATATTTATACATTTTTGCAAATTTGATTTGATTCATGCTGTATCAGAATTACGTCTCTATGTGTCTGTTTTTAAAAGATCCAACTCAAGGGCTAAAGCATAAAGTCTCCAAAGGTAATTCCCGTCCCCATGCAAGGCTGGAAATATTGAAACTGTTTCCAGGTTGCTCTGTATTCGACTTAGGAGGATTTTTATAACCTGACAGTGAACGATGCAGCGAATTCGAAATTTTATGAATTTCGTGTAATAAGTTGAGCGCCATTTTGCTCAGTGGTTTCAGCGCCCCTTAGTGCGAAAAGGGCAA